GGGGGGGGGGGGCAGTGTGCCCCAAACTACGGCAATGATGATAAGGGTAGACACCGGGAAAATATTTTTAAATAACTTTTAAAAATCAACCAATGTATAATTATAGATTAGAAAATAAAAATATGCAAAAGGTTAAAAATACAACTCATATGTAATCTTAAGTTTTATAGCAGACTTCTATTAATTTTTTTTGTTTCACATTACAGAATTTATCCTATTTATGCACACACAGATGTATGTGTGATATGAGTGCATTTAAACTAGGATCTGACAACTTTATAAGCTGAATTTTCTCTTAATATATCATAAACAACATTCTACATCACTAAATATTTTTTGGTAACATCCACTTACATGAGTAATTAGTAATTCATTGTATAGATGTACTGTAATTGATTTAATTCAAACCTCTGGTATTGGATATTTAAAATGTTTTTTTTTTTTTTCTGTTATGTTTTTGTCATTATAAACATTTTTTTGTTTGTTTTTGCTATTTAAAAAAAATATACCGAGAGCTAAGTTTTTGGAAAATCACATCTATTTCCTCAAGACAGAACCCTGGAAGTTGAATTGGTAGGTTGAGAGCTATGTTAAATTTTAATTTTTTGACACATATTGACAAATTGCTCTCCAGAAGGGCTGTATCAAATTACAGTTCCACTAGCAGTGTCACAGGAGTGGGGAACCTTTTTTCTGCCAAGGGCCACTTGGATATTTATAACATCATTCGTGGGCCATACAAAATTATCAACTTAAAAATTAACTATGAAAAAAGCTCCTAGATTTATTGAATTTTGAGTCCCGCCTGCTGTTGCCTTGGCAGGGCCAGACCAGATGATTTCAAGGGCCGTATACAGCCTGCAGGCTGGACGTTCCCCACCCTTGGTCTACAACTAGGAGGAGACCCGTTTGAAAATGACTTCCTGGATGGAGTCAATTGGACTTGGTGGGTGTAAAGCAGGGATGTATCCTTGACAGAGTATCGGGGCAGGAGCAATGTGAACTCTGTCAAGAGCAGCAGAGCAATGGGCAGGCCTAAGGAACAGGTGGCTGGGTGGATAAATGATGAGAAAAAAAGGTAAGGTAACTACAGGAGAGTGGGTCAAAAATGAAGAAAAATAAAAGAAACCTCTAGTGGAGTTGTGCACTCAGTTCATTTTAATTTACTGCTTTATTCAGTGAAAGCAGCAAATGTAGCTAATTATTTTGTAGCACTTGGCACTACAAGGTCCAGAGTTATATTCATGTAAATATGTTGATCCATTGTTTTCATCCAATAATCACTTATTAGGTGTCTACCACGTGCCAAGTGCTGTTCTGGATGCTATGGGTATGGAGATGAATGAGAGCTAGTCCCTGCTCTCAAGGAGCTCACAGTCTAGGGGGGACACAGACATTCACAGACTGACACACTAGAGTGTGGTACAGAGGTAAGTGCATGGTCCTATTGAAGCCAGAAGCCTAGCACTGCTTCATGTATGCATGCATGTGTGTGCGTGTGTGTGTGGGGGGGATTGCAAGGAAGGCTTAATAGAGGTATTGATATTTGAGCTGAGTCTTGGAGGACAAGAAATTCCTCAGATAGCTAAGGGTCACAGATCATACTCATATTCCTTACCAGCACCTCAAATTTTTGTGCTACTGCTCTCAAGGACACTCGGTAAGGCAGTGAAGATGCTTGTGTGCAATCCAAACCCATTTATGACAGCAGTCTCCACTGTTACCTTAATGAATATATGTACCCAGTCTGGGCAATAATATGCTCATCTTAGAATATGAAGGATAACAAACAAATGGCATACAGACTTTTAAAATCATTTTGATGACATTGATAGAATAATAATATTTATATCTACCAAGTCCTACTAATTCTACCTCCTAAATGTCTCTAAAATCTATTCCCTCATCTATGTTGCTCCCTCAGCTCGTCATCTCTCTGTAGAACAGAGCACCGGTCTCCTAACTGGTCATGTCCCCCTCCAGTGTATCCTAAAGTGAAAAGCTGATCATGGTGTTCTTCTTCTGAAACATTTTAATGTTTTGTTTTTTTTTTCCTAGAGTAGCATTTCCTAAATTCCCATCATTTGAGTATTACTTGGTGATTTTCCAAATTCATATACCACATGTACTTATATTTGTCTTTAAATCAACTTAAAACTGGTTCACTTTTTTTTTTACTAAGCCGTGTGCTAAGTAGCCTTATATTTGATGATGCAATTCAGTTTCACCTTTTATAAGACACATTAGAATATGTAATTAGTAATATTTAAAATATTTGTGGGAGTACAACATAACCACCGATGGCAGATGCCCTACATTTTGAGAAACACTGGCCTGTGGGAGCACATCCCAACTTCTTAGCTTCAACCTATCTTTCCAGACTTTTCTGCCATTATACCTTCCCTTTGCCAAACAATCTGCACCCCTACCATGCTAAACTTCTCAGTATTGAATGGCTATGCATTGCTCTTATATAACCACATGTCTCTCACAGGCTGCTCCTCTGTCTGAAACACCTCCCCTCCACTCTTCTCTACCTGGCAAAGTCATTATCCTTCAAGACCAGCCATGTCACCTCCTCACAGAAGCCTTTTGCCTGACTCTCCCTTATAGTCAGTCACTCCTTCCTTTATCCTTCCATAGCACTTTGTGCCTGTCTCCGCTATACTACAAACTACATTATCTCAGAATTATGGGCCTCTATCTCCCCAGCTAGAACCAGGGAGAACTCACACCATTACTTCATGTGGGCAAAGGTAATGGAGGAGACCTAGTGACCCAGGTCACTTAAAATAAAAGCTAAAATAAAATAAAAACCAAAGTCTGTCCAGGTCCAAAGAACTTAGAGGCATGACGTTTTACAAAGAGAATCATCTAATTCAGAAATAGCCATACTGACTATAGTTTTGGCAGACACAATTAGCTACAGCTGCAATAGCAGTTAAGCTAATTTGGTTTTGGCAGCTACTTTACAGCAGACACATACTGACATAGAAAATAAGAGTGAATCATTTGGGTTTCTGCCAAGATGATCGACTATACCTCACAAAAATTTCTCCTTACCGCAAACAGAAAGTCAAGAACAAAAGTGAACAGCAGGACCAGGAAACCATGGTAGGCAGAGCCTGGGCTCTACAGTCAGAAATCAGCACACCCAAACCCCAACTCAACTCATTAAAATCTACATGACTTTAGGTAGGTTGCTTAAGTTTTCATTTTAGTTTCCTCTTCTAGAAAAATGGGAATAGTACCTATTTCATAAGACTGTTAAGATAATGCAACAAAATGCTTATGATAGTGTGTGGAACATTATATGGGCTCAATAAATAATAGTCATTATTGTCACCCATTGAAATGCCTACAATTCAGATAATGTAATGCACAGAAGAGGAAATGCATTTCTTAAGAAAATAAATTTGTGCCCTGGCCAGTATAGCTCAGTTGGTTAAAGTGTCATCTCGTGCACCAAAAGGTGGCCAGTTTGATACCTGGTCAGGGCACAGACCCAGGATGCGGGTTCAATGCCCAGTTGGGGAATGCTGGGGAGGCAGCAGATTAATGTTTGACACAGGTTTTTTTCTCTCTATCTGAAATCAATTTAAAAAAAAGAAATCTGTCACCAAGCTTTAAAACTGACAACTATAGAGTGCAGCTAGCCACAAACAAAACAGTGTATATGATAAAGTTATTCTGGGGTTTAAACTCACACCTGGAACATACCACCACACTTCTTTGTGTTCTCCAAGAATTGATCTCAAATCAGGTTCCCCTAGGATGAAAAAACAAAAATCACCCAATCTTAATTTTTTGTCTTTAATTTTATTTGATACAGAATAATATCCAAATCATGTGGATGCTTCAAAGTGTCCTATTATGACCCCAAAACTTTTAACACTATTTCTTTCCCAATCTATCCTTGCTGACATCTTTTTAAAAAAACTGAATTTATTGGGGTGACATTGGTTCACAAAACCATCAGAAAGAGACTCCTTTGGGCGATGGGCGCACAATGCAGGGCGCAGATGAGGTTTTGTTGAGTTGTATGGTTTAAACCTGCTGACACCTTTTATTCCATTCAGGCAAGCCCACTTGTCACACAAGTGCTCCCTCTTCTATCTACCCTTCTGAAATTCCAATCCTAGTATGATCAGGAAGCATTTTCTCCCTCCTCTTTGCCCATTTCAAATTTCCTCTGGAGGCCAAGTTAAAATTCACCCTCTTCACAAAGCCTACCAGGATTGATCTGAAGACAGCTGAGGGTTTCAAGCCTTCAGCACTTCCAGGGTTTGGATTGGCACTCCATAGGTCAGGCCCCCCACCCCACTCTATAAGTATACCCTTCCACTAATGCCTCAAAACTTTTTTCACGCATTTGTAATACTAAAATCATTGATGGAGTCTGTTTCCCACAGCCTACTTTATTTTGTAGTTGGTGTGCCACAGAAAAAATTGTCCACATTAATGCTAAAAGTACTTGCTGGAAACCCCTAAGGCGCTGTTTTAAAAATATGTCTAACTTGCCCTTTACTCTCATCAGAACACTGCACTGAATCTTAAACACATATCTCAAAAGTGCGATTCCTTCCCTCCTCGGTTCCCTATCCCTTCTGAAAATGGAAAGGAAACCTTTTCCACTCCAAAGACCTCGTTAGGGAAGGGGCGGGTGGTTGGAGGGGCCAAAAAATAGAAATAAAAAAATGCCGACTATCTTTATCTCACCATCCGTGAGACAGACAGTGAAAAATTTGCCAAAAGTAATACCCTGGGCGTGGCAAGGAATTCCCCCGCCTCCAGAGAAAATGGGAGGCGTGTGCGCCCAAACCTGAAACCTAAATTGAGGGACTAGAGGAAAGAGATCACCCAACTCCTCCAAGCGGTAAGGAGAGTCCAGAGGCCACCCACGGAAGACTCTGGTCGAGAACCCTAACTTCATACCTCCGGGGGGAGGCACGAGGCGGGAGTGGGGATCCGTGGAAGAAAAGCACCGAGGGCGAGCTGGAGAAGAAAGGAAGAGCGCCCTCAAGGGAACTGGCGCGAGAGCTCAGGGGCCCACCCCCGCCTCACAGGCCCTACGCCCCCTCCCTGGCAGAGGCGGAGCTGGGCGGAGTTGCGCGCGAGGGCACCGGCCCGGAAGCACCCTCCTCCCTAGGCTCCCTGTCCCACGGTCCCCAGCCACAGCCACTCAGTCTTTCTGCCTTTCTGACCTCCAGCTCCCCGGCTACCGGAGCGCTATTCCTTATACAGCCGCAGAAAATGGAGCCGGCGCGGCAGCTTCTGGGCGGGAAGTGTCCTCGCCGCGCCCCCCGAGCCACGGAACTGTCTTCCGTCCTCGCCGCCTGGCGCCAGCCGGCTTAGGCTCGGCACTCGGGCCGGAGGCGGGACTCTCACCTACTGCGGCACGTCCTATTGGTTACTGGTCACCGGGGAAGCCGGAGCTCCCCAGTCCTTGTCCTCATGGGAAATGTAGTTTGAGATAGCTTGATCCAATATTGACTTCGGTGGAGGACTTCAGTGAAGACAGAGGATTGTGGGAGATGGAGTTGAGACACTAGTTTGTACATATACCCACAATTCCCACCACCACCACCCCGTTTTTGTGATTGTGCCCACGATTCAGACAGAAAAGAGCATCCTGGGTATTGTAGTTTGGCGTGCACTGGCTAACGGAATCTCCCTTCTTGGGTTATGGGGTTGTGCTTGTGGGGGCAGATGAAGGTTCTAGATTTACTTTACTGTTGGTTAAGCTGTTAGCATTTAGGGGAAAGCACTTTATATTGTGATTTAAAATTTTCATTGTTTTGATTAACTTATTTAAAGGATCTGGAAAAAATGTGTATTTTGTTTCTAATTGGGAGTCATATTTTTCCTTAGAAATGGTGTCACACATAACAAGTATAAAAATGTGATTTAAGCCAGCACAGAAGAAGCCTGTTTAACCCATAATAAAGCCACAGTTTCCATGAGGAACAGTGGCCACTATTTAGAACAGATAGATAATACAACTTGAATAATAAGAAATAACGACACTTCTTTAAGAAACTATTGTTCTTTTTAGTAAAGTCATGTTAAAAGAGGTGGACAAGGCATAGATGGTGACACCTAAGCACTTTTAAGTGATTTGAAGGTTGAGGAAAATGGTTGTTTATTTGGGCTAATTTCTCTTCTAACTGTAACCAAAGTTTCCACATCCATGAATTCAACCAACTGTGGATCAAATGTTTGAACAAAAATGTTACATACTGATTTCATTTTCTTTGGATGTAAACCCATAAATGATACTGCTAAATCAAATGGTAGTTCTACTTTTCATTTTTTGAGGAACCTCTATATTGTTTTCCATAGTGGCTACATCATTCTCCATACCCTCCAACAGTATATGAGTTCTGATTTCTCCACATCCTCATCAACACTTGTTATCTCTTGTGTTTTTGGTAATAGCCATTCTGACAGGTGTGAGGTGATTTCTCATTGTGGTTTTCATTTGCATTTCCTTGATGATTAATAATGTTGAGCATCTTTTCAAAAACCTGTTCGCCTTTTGTATATCTCTTTGGAGAAATGTCTATTCAGAGCCGTATGAATTTTATGATTATTTTTCTATTTCTGTTTAAAATGCCATTGGATTTTTATAGGGGTTGCATCAGATCTGTAGATCACTTTGGGTAGTATGTACATTTTATCAATATTGATTTTTTTCAATCCATAAACAAGGGATACCTTTCCACTTATTTGTGTCTGCTTTAATTTTTCATCAGTGTTTTATAGTTTTCAGAGTATATGTCTTTCACCTCCTTGGTTAAGTTTATTGCTATATATAGGGTGTCCCAAAAAATATATACCCACTTTGAATAATTATTAATTCCAATGGGTTACATCCGAAAAAAAAAAAAAAGGAAACATCAATTGAGCTATCAGAAAAAGAGTGTGTATACATTTTTTGGGGACACCCTGTATTTTGTTATTTTGATACTATTGTATATGAGATGTTTTCTTAATTTTATTTTCAGATCATTGTTAATGTATAGAAATGGAACTAGTTTTTGTATCTCCTTAAGCTCTTACCAGAATTTGGGGGTTACCAATGGCCAGGTTAAGGCTTATTATGAAGAAGGTTTGGGGGCTAAGAGTGTAAATATGTTTCTCAGATTGGCTGTTGACATTATAGGTCAGTCTACAAATAATGTTAGTGTGAGAATAGACAACACATAGGATCCAACCTGACTTCAGGTTTAGAGACTCAGGCTGGAATCAGGGGCTTGGCCTCAGACTGTTGCCAGGGTTTGAGTTCAGAGTGTTCATGTTCTGTTGTCGGTTTGGGACTTAGACTCTGGCTAGTGTAGCAAGCATTCTGGTATCAGTAGTAGAGTTCAATCTGTGCTAATTTTTAGTACCCTTACTGTGCCCAGTGTCATGCATACATCTGTCCCCAATTTAGGGCTAGGTTTGTGGCCAGACTGATTGCTCAACCTCAGTATGCTAGAACTTAGTCTGTGGCCAATGATATAGTGAACTTTGTTTACAGGTTTAAGACTCATTCCATGACAAAGGTTATTACTTAGTCTTAGCCTATTGTTAGGTCTAATAATATGAGCAGGATTTTGATTCAGCCCTGTAGTGTCAGGAATTATTTTTTATCCAGGCTTAGGAGTTAGTCTTCAGGTCTCACATTCTGGGAAGTATTTACAGTCTTCTTCCCAGGGCAGTATTCAAATTGTGGCCAAGAATAGGGCTCAGATATTGGTGAGTTGCATCTGTTCTCAGGGTTAAAGTTAAATCTCTTGCGAGATATCATGTAAAGAATATGGAAAGTATTTCTTTTGTTTTATCCTTAATTCATATTCAGGGTTTGGGTTCAGTCTTTGTCCAGTGTTGAACAGTTCAGTTTCTGGTACTGGGAATCTGTCTGTGGCTAGGGTTAAGGATTCAGTCTGGGGCTAGCAGTTAATGAGAGAGTTCAGTGTATCTCAGAGATTCAGGATCAGTCATTGGTCACATTGGTGGATCAGTTTTATTTTTAGGTTGTAAGCTCAGGTTGGAGGTTAGGCTTACGGGTGCAGTTTGTGATGAGAGTTAGAAATTCAGTCTGTGGCCAGAGACTTAGTTTGTAAACAGTTTAGAAGTGATAAGATTTACCGGCCAAATCCTTAGCCAGTGATGGGGCTCAGTGTGTACCAGGTTCAGTGAATTATTCTGTGGTCAGATTTATGAAGCCAGTACCTGGCCAGGTTTAGAACTTGGTCTTTGAACAGAGTTAAGTCTCAGCCTGTGGCTATGAGCAGAATTAGGGCATATGCTGTGGTCAGAATACATCCTCAAATTAGTAGATGATTTGGTTTCACTTCTTGGCCAGGATTAAGGCACAGTCTTTGGCCAAGTTTGTATTTCAGTCTCTGTACATATTCTTGTCTCTGTATGAGGCCAAGTTTAGTAATCATTTGGCTGCCAATTTTGGGATCATTTTCTGGTTAGTGCTAAGTCTGTGGAAATTGTAGCTGGGTTGGTTTCCAAGATCAGATCTCAGATTATTACTGAGTTAGAGACTGTCTGTGGTCAGGGTTTAGAGCTCAGTCAGTATCTATGCTGAGCATTCATTTTGTGGTCAGTGTAAGATATTTAGTATACCCCAGAGTTAGATCAGTCTTTAGCTTAGCCTTGAGTCTCAGCCTGGGACAGGTTTAGGGGCTATGTCTGATGACATGTTTGATCTCGGTATCATGAATTAAGGGCTTATTAATGGACATAATAAGGCTTCAGCAGGATATCAGGGTTAGAGACTCAGTCTGGGACCAGTCATAAGTATTTCCTCTTTGACCAGACATAGGCAGTAAGTACGAGACTATACCCAGGAACTGAATTTAATCAGGGTTAAAGCCTTGGAGTAGGGCCAGAAAGAGGCTCAGTTTATTTATTTATTTTTATTTTTAAAAATATATATCTTTATTGATTTCAGAGAGAGGAAGGGAGGGGAAG